AATTAAAATGTTTTGGAAGGAATTCANCCCTGCATTTCTAATACCGTTTGTGAGGGATCCAAAGCTTTTCTCTCAAGGTCTGTGAAGATTAATTCATTAATTAGACTGTAATTAGCTAATTAATTAAAATGTTTTGGAAGGAATTCAAATTCTAGTCTTAACCCTTGAACTCTGCTTCACCGATCTCGAACGGTCTCTGGTGGGGGAATTACATGAGGTAACGCTCTGTGATGGGGGAATTACCTGTCGGTAACGGTCTGTGAGGGGAGGGGGGTGGGTGGGGGCAAATTTCAACCCTAAGCACTTCAACACTCCTTTCAGGTCGTGTTTCACAAAATATAGCTGAACTCAGTGGCTATCTGCTAATGAAAAGTCAGATGATTTAGACCTAAAATTTATTGAGCTTTTTAAGATAGAAGACCATAGGTTAATTTTTACTAGGAATTTTGGCATGTAGCATTTTTCTATCTTTGAGCAGTAATCACAATGATTAATTAACACGAAGTATGTAAAGTAATATTAAGTGTTCTATATCATTATACCTGTCTAATTTTTTACGTACGAGTTGATTGCTAGATCCAATAATAATTAATGTACATGTACATGTATATTTTACAAATTAGCTTATAATTAAGCCAATTTGCGTAATAGTGTTATAGAACGAATATTCTCTATTTACTTGACGCATTAGTATCATCATTTCTTTGCAATAAAGAATAATATCACTATATGATTAAAATTTCGTTTTTTGCGTTATTTTAATTTGCTGATGGATTCCTGAGAAACTCCGGTCTCATATGATGGGAATATAAACAAATCCATAAGACAAAATCTTCTGTCTTTTCATTGATAGATAGTCACTGAGTTCAGCTACATTTTTTGTATAGATTGTTTAGTAAAATTATGTAGTTGATCTAGCGCCAATGTTTTTATTACTGATGATGAACGATGTCACATGTATTTTCTATTACATGATGAAATAAGGAAAGAAGAACAGCTGGTGTGATGGAATTAAGTTACACTACTTAATTATATCACATGAAAAAGTTGATTGTTACGAGAAAAGATACATGAAAAATTCATTTATTAGTGATGACAAGCATACCAATCGATAGAGTTCTACCTGGTGAATCAAATGATGTGAATTTGAACCGAAAAATTACGATATTTTTACCAAAAACATCTTTTTGATGGCAATCCTATGTATTTTGCCTGGAATGCTGTAATTAAGACATGGACAGAATGGGACAAAAATTAACGTTGGTGTTTGTTTCTTTATTGTTTGCTCACTCAAAACGTATTGTATCTTGATGGAAATCATACTATTCGATACAAAAATGCTTTGTCTATTCCGCAATCCAAAAATCAGCTCAAACGGACTTCGGGAAGCGGAGATATTCGAGATTTTAAAATAGATTGCAATATCGTGATGGAATTTGGAGCAGCCACTCTATTATTAAGCAATTAACTGGGCTTTATTATCTAATCTTTTCTCCGAAAGTGTTAATTACTTAATATGGAAAGTTAATGCTTTCATGAAAACATTAACCATTAATATTAAGTCATTAATTTTAATGAAAATATAATCCCTAATATTAACGAAAACATTACTATTCATACTAATGGTGAATTTTTCCGTTAACCGTTAATATCACTCAAGAACATTAACATTAATATTAATGATTAATGAAAACATTAATTTTACAATTAATGTTAATAGCCCACCTCTAGTACTACACCCACATCCCGCAAGATCGTCGTGATGTTTGCAGACATGTTTCTGAAAACTGAAATACAATTATATATGTTATTCTTTTCCAGTGATATTGGTATGGAATGTTGCTTATCTAAATATTAATACATTCTCTTGCGTTTGCTATTCGAGGCCTAGAGATTTCTCATTCAAGTAGATGATCGAGAAAAAATATCTTTTAACCGGTGATGACAAAGCAAGTTCGTTTAAAAGAAATGTTTTACTAAAAAATGCATGATACTAGCAAGAGTTGGTTTCTGAATGCAATCTTTATTCAACATTATCCATGATTATGTAATCTGGGGGGTTTATCACAGGTGTATGTCATTATAACAATAACAAAAATAGAAAGAAAGTGCAGCTTTTTCTCAGCTCCTATGATAGTTATAATAGATTAATTACGAAATGTTTTTTCACATTCAAAAAATATTTTTCTTTTCTTTGAAACAGAAACGTCTTTAACTAAATAGGTGCTATTTAAGTTACAGTTTAGAGGTCCGAATAAATTTAGATACTTGGCGTCCAGTCTACCCTGATTGGATGATTAAGAAAAAGACAAAAATATCGTTAAATATATTTCTTCACTACAAAAGTTAATTATTCCAGAACAAACCAATTCCACATATCTATGATGACAGCTTAAAATCTAATTGACTAATACATGCGCAAAACCTAAATCATTGGTCCTCAAAATTCTAATTCGAGTCTTAGAAATTCCATTATAAGAATAAAAACACCTTGGGACAGAGAGGTTTTCGCTCGCCTGTACTTTTTTAATATTGAGCTACTCTTACAAGTGCAACATAACTCTCCACTAAAGAACGTTCGCGTTTTTTACGACCAAAATTTATCGAAGCATACACGAACAGAATAAAAAAAGGTTGAAAGTTAAAAAAATAAAAATAAAAAATACTCTAATAGACCGTTGCTCGACTGATGTAGGATACAAAAAACGATTCACCTATATGAATTATTCATCGGAGATATTCTTACTCACAAGAAGCCCTCTTAGTCGTTGCTTTTACAAAACACAATCAGAATTGTTGATTTCTTCCATCGAGATAATTGTAATAAAGATTGAGCAGCCGAGAAAAGATTTCGAGTTCGTTTTTTAAACAACGCGTCGTGTAAAAGCAATGCTACAAATGTTATATGCTGTTATAGGCTACGTTATTGAATTCTTTTTTGTTGGAAAGAACAAGATGTGAACTTTAAATTTCGTACGAAATTTATTTTTCAGGACGAATATGGAAAGGAGAAAAAAAAGTTCGAAACTGTAAAAGTCTTTAAAAATGTATTCAACGCAGCCCCTTTGGGGCTAAAATATGAAACTCAAGCATATCATTGAAGCCTCGATAAACCAATAAAAATGTATAAAATGAAAAATTTCTTAGGCAACTGATTTTTCAAAATAATTGATCATCACAGTAAAATATCTCTCATTTATTGTTACATTTTCAAAAGATTAGTCTATTTTGCTTGGCGCCCTTTTTTCTTTCGCATTTTTCCTGTTTTTTCGTTTTTTCTTCATTTTTTCTTCCAATTAATTTGTAATGTCTGTAAGGGAGGGGGAACCGCAAAATTCTGCCCCTTACACTTACACTCACTATTTTCTTCAAAAATATACGTGAGTTCCACAAAATCATTTTTAACTTGCAAACATCTGCAATTCTCAAAACTCTCACAATACATGAATGGAATTTATACTCAAAAACATAGACAGACATGTAGAGCATAATAATCCCCACTGTTAGCAGCTTCGTCAAATATTTTCAGATCCATTTTTGACTCAGCAATACAAAAATTAGGAAAAAAGAGGAATTGTTTTGGTGCAAATATCAGCTATCATCTCCAATAGCTAAATGTATGAACACAATTTGCTGCTATTATCTATTCAAGATATGTTGGAGCTTAAAACCTGAACAGAAAAAAATAAACTCTGATAGTAGATTTTACCGTTTCAGAATGGTGAGGTTAAGATTAAAAAAGCACCCAAAATTTCCAAACTCTTTGAAAAAAGCAATATTTTGGTAGCAATACGAAGGGGGTGCTACAAATAGCATACTTTTCTCATTTCCTTTCCCTATAAAAATAATCAATAAAATAGACAATGGTGCTGGAAAAGTTTTTTCGTTACCAGTATTTTATGTTCGGCTGTTGCTCCTTTTGCAGATTCGCTGAGAAAAAATTGTGCAAAAACTTTTGCATACAACGTTTTTATAGGCCAATGCTTGTTTCACTATACATGAATCACAAAACTAAATTGTCCTCTTATTAACACCAGCAACGAGTATTTGTCAGAATTTCTTTAATCGATGGCTTTTCGATTCATATTGTCCTTGAAAATATGATTAATAAGCATCGGCGGGCCACCATTGTGGCAAACTGTGGCAGTTGCCACACCTAAAATTTTTATTCGTTATGAATTTTTCTATGCCACTATTTCTCGATCAAGTCTTAGTCTTTAATTGGAAGGCAGTACGAAGTAAAATGAATCCAGAAGTCTCTCCTGCGCTTTCATGTATCCTAAGATAGGTGCAATTTGTCAAATCTTTTCTAGAATTGAGCAGACACTTTTCATTTATGTATTATTGGTTTCTATGAAATTTAATAAGCTCTTTGCTAAGAAAAAAAGATTGACTGAAGTCTTTATGTTTTTCAAGTACATTAAATTCGTACTCTGTAGTCTGCATATTATCACTTGCTATTGATTTCAAAATCAACAAGAGAAAATTTCATCAAAATATCTTGAACGTAAAGAAGGCAATGAACTTATGTTCGTAACTAATTGAAACATAACATAAAGATTCTTTGAATATATGTTTCGTTGTTAATTAATTTAAAATAGCTCATATTTTTTGACGAATACATATATTCATCATCTTAAAAATGATCAATGTTTTGTGATGCATTTATAAACAAACAGACAGGAGAAAAAGCAACTGAAAAGAATCAGGCCGCTTAATCGTGATATACGCAATTAACTAAACGATAAAATCGATTCTGTTTCTGTTTCTGTTTTGTTCTGTTCTTTTCTTCTATCTGCCTATACAAACATTCGTCTGTAAAGTTCATCACATTGAAGGTAAAGAGGAAGAATGCATTCGTTGAAATGAAAATAAGTTACGTTAAATAATTTGATAAATAAAAGTATGTTAAAATAATTTTTAAATTTAAACTATATATTTGACTAAAACTACAATTTAGGAAAATACTTGGTCATTTTTTTCGAATTAATTGTGTCATAATGTCTACATGTAAAAATTCGTTAACTAACTACTTCAAGAAAAGAAACATCACCGATAATGTTGAAGAAGCGAATCAGGTAGTAACTCAATCAAATCCAGTTGAAGAAATTGAAGTTCTTCACACTAAACGATTAAAACCAAATGAACTGACTGATTCCACAACACTTACTACTAACAATACTTCTGCTTCCACTTCAATGATTAGTTCAACAACAACATCCAATACATTATCATCACCGAACGAACGAGACCCATGTCATGGTCCTGCAAAAGCAAAAGTTTATATACTATTAGGACCATTTCAACCGAAAACAAACTTTCCTACCGTAAATGGTCGTCATTTTCGTGCAGAATGGTACAATACCTATCCGTGGTTAGAATATAGTTTGGAATTGAATCGTGCATTTTGCTTTCCATGCCGTTTACGTAATGAAAGAAAAAATGAGAATCCATTTACAATTACTGGTTTTCATCAATGGAAAAATGGAACATTGCGATTGAATGATCATCAAGCGACAAGCTGACATAAAGAATCTTTTGCTATATAGAAAATAACTTTGCAAAATTATAATAACAATACAGATGTATTGAAATTAATCAATCAACAACATTCTAAACAAGCAACCGAAAATCGAGTATATTTAAGAGAACTCATTCGGACTGCTCATTTTCTTACACGTCAAGGAGTTAGTTGTAAGTGACACGAATATCTTTAAATCTTAAATTAAAGATATATAATGTATTCTTTTCTTTGAGAAAATTATTTCTTTATATTTTAGTTCGTGGTCATCGTGAAAACGTTGGCTCGAAAAACAGAGGTAATTTTCTAGAATTGTTGGAATTAAGGAGCAACGACAATGAAATCATAAAGAAGAAGAAAGAAGAGATACAATTCACCGATTACAAAATACAAAACGAATTGATTGATTTAATGAGTAAACAGGTATTGAATCGTATCTTACGAGAGATTCAACAAGCTAAATATTTTTCGATTATGATCGACGAAACAACTGATATATCAAAACTGGAACAAGTTTCGTTGGTAGTGAGATATACTGATGATCAATTTAAGGTACATGAGCGGTTTATGGGCTTTGCGAGAACAACGGAAATGACAGGAGAAGCATTATTTAATTTATTGTTGGAATGGTTGAAGAAATTGAACTTAGACGTGAAAAATATTGTTGCCCAGTTATATGATGGAGCATCTGCAATGCGAGGTGAATATAAAGGTGTACCAGCGCGTCTGAAACAAATTGCACCGTGTGGTAAGAAAGAAAAAACAAAGACATTTCTTACTTTGTTTTTTTCTAAATCTAATAATGTTACTCTCTTTACCATTCAAAGGAATTTACATACATTGCAATGGACATATATTGAACCTGTGTCTAGTTGATGTTTCAACTAGGGTTTCTTCAATTCGAAATAATTTTGGGATCGTATCATCATTATACAATTTAATTGAAAATTCTGCCAAAAGGCATGCTATATTTGAAGAAATACAAGAAGAAGCTGGATTACAATCTTTGACAATCAAACAGATGTCTGATACAAGATGGACGTGTCGATGGGATTGTTTAAAAGTCGTATTAATTAGATATCCGCAAATTATTTCAACTCTTCAATTAATTGAAGCACCAGAATCACATTTACTTCTTCATTCAATGGAATCCTTTGACTTCGTGTTTCATTTGTTTATTATGTCCGAAATATATCTACTTACGAATATTTTATCAAAATATCTACAAAGTTCTCAAATATCTATCAGTCAAGCGTTAAAACAAGTTAAAATGACTGTCGATACGTTGAAGTCGTTAAGAAATGAAACAGAATTCGAACGCTTTTATTCAAAAGCATTGCAAATGTGTGAAGAAAATGAAATTGATCCGCCGAAAGTACAAAGGAAGAAAAAAGTGAGTTAATACTTTCGCAAATAATGTTCAAATATCGTGGTTATATTATTTAAATAATTTCATAACTTCTGAATCCTTATAGGTTCCTGCTCGTCTTGGAGGTGGAGATAAAGATTCAACTGATTTGAATATTAAAGATCATTATAGAATAAATACTTACTATGCTGTTCTAGATACAATTATTACATCTATTGAAAATCGATTTGATGAAAATATGATTCATGACATTTTGCTGATGGAAAAATTATTTTTAACTAAATAATTATTGAATGAAAATGAATTAAAACAGCTGTCAAAACAGTATTCGTTAAGTTATGATGATCTACGAGGTGAACAACGCTTATACAAGACAAAATTGACTACTTCTTCTCCAGCAACTTTGCCTGAAATTAAATCTTTTATTCTGGATAATCATTTAAATGTTGGTTTGCCTGTTATGAACAAATTGTTCAAGATTTTATGGACTATACCTGTAAATACTTGCGAATGTGAACGAAGTTTTTCAACGTTACGTCGAATTAAAACTTATCTTCGATCTACAACAGGGGAAGATCGTTTATCAGGACTTGCTTTATTGAACATTGAACGTGAAGCTGAAATTGACTATGACGAAATAATAAAAGAATTTGTATCTGCAAAGAGCACCAGAAAAATAGTATTTTAGTGACATGGATAAAATGCGTTTATGATAAGTTAGTGGTGATATTTTTTTTGTTTTTTGCCATTTTTTTAAAGAGTGAAAATAATAAATAAATTATGAACCGAATGAAAAAAATACAAAATTTTTAGCATCACAATCGGAGTATGTGAAGGAAATTTAACGCTCTATTTTTTATAGGTGCCTTATGCTTTTAATAATTTTTGCCACACCAAAAAAACTGACCCTGGCCCGCCGATGTTAATAAGTAATCTTCTTAATATTGGCATACTGCTGTAAAACGAGACATTGATAAATGTTAACCATAATATTACTAACACCCTTTCAACGAAGAAACACAATACAGTCAATAGCGTACAATATTATTTTGTTTTTCAATACAATTCTTCACATGAATTCTACAAAATGAGTAGAGAACATGGAATAATCAACCACCGTCTAACGAATGGAACATAAAGAATCGCACCTTTTTGTATGTAAACTATGATTTTCTACTAGTGAGACTTGATTCGTCTTTTTTTCAAAAGATTCATTATTCAATTCCCTACAAAATCAGACTAACGAACAAAAGTACTGCACTTTCAAACAGCGTTTTTTGTCTCTCCAGCAAGCATCTAATTAACCAGAAACGAGTTTTTCAAGTATGATTTTAAGTTTTATAGTCATTGCGACTCTCTCGAGTAATATTTTAATGTAAACACATGAGAATACTTGTAATATAAGCTCTGAGGCCCAAACATTTTTGTTTTTGCACACATGTGTGAAGCCACCTTATTAAGACAAAACCTCTAACAGTCGCACATATGTTCTACAAGAAAGCTCGTAAAGCTTAAGAAAATAGATGTTACCTTTTCAATATGATTCAACGGATACATAATTCAAGATACCAGTAGAAGGTGATACTTACGAAAGGCTACAAAATGATACATAAACTTTCCGAAAATGCATCTATTTTGTAAAGAACTGAATAGGGAATATTTTGGAAAAAGATCAAGTCGCCATGACAGAAAATGTGGTTTATATACAAAATGTGAGTCTTTGTGGCCAATCCGTTATTACTAATTATATGTTTTAGCTCTATTTTATTTTAAAATAAATGTCATTAATCGATTATTTTTCGTCGACAGTGATGTTTGACTATAAAATTGTTTTATGAAAGTTCCATGGGGAAAATGTCGTTACTTTTCAATGCTGCAAAACGCATTAATGCTGACCGGTTTAATAAGTTCCGCAGCTGCTGAATCGGTTAAAAACGCCGCGAGATGATGTACTTTTGGTTTTCATTCTGAAATAGTGGCTGCCAAACGCGTTTTGAGTAAATAGGGAAATTGTTTTTACGTCTGTGCTACCATAGGAAACGCTGCGAAACACGATACGCTATGAGGAATTGACGTAGAGAAAGTGAAAAAGAACTCACAGTGTGCTATAATTAATGTTTTTAAAGATGACATGCTTTTTAAAATTGATCAGAAATTCCACAAGAAACACTAATTATGATTTTTATTATCCTATACATTACTAATATTTGGGTGTGATGAGTAGCATGTAAATTGCAAAATACTGATTTAATGTAATATTCAGATATAAAAGTATTTTCAATCTATTCCTCAATATCTTGATAAATTTTTCCTATTCAAATAATTTTCTCTTACTGATAAAAACGTTATAGCTACTTTATTAATAAAATATTCTTGATTAAAATAAAATCACACCATAAAATAGTTCTTTATATAATTGTTTCTGTCATTCATATTCAACAGTAATTTTCAATTCATACTGGATAGTTTGTTATTAAAACGTAGTTAATTCACGTGCTCCAGCAAATTCTGCCGTTGATAATTGTGCAAGACTAAAAGGAGACAGTCAGTTCGACATTCACTTTAGCTAACTTCAAACAAAAGAATCTTACCGTCTAGTGAAATAAATATAGCTACCCGCCGCTAGCCCACTAGTTATCGCCATACCAGAACCTAAGCCAATACCTAAACCTAATTTCACCCGTGTGAGTTCAGCTTGAAGAGTCGAGCAGTCCGATTGCAGCGAAGCTACAGTGGTCGTTGTTGTTATTGTTGGAACTATGGTCGTTGCACAAGTTGTATTAGGGCAAGGTATCGTAGTTCTGTTACCAGTTTCACAATTTTCTACCCAACATATATCAGGACACCGTGTAGTCGTCGTGCTAGTAGTAGCTAACAAAAAATGAAGCGCACATAGATCATTTATACATAAAAGCTACGTTTGCATCGCGTACATACACACAGTAACACTTCAACCTATGATCGCTACTGAAATGTCTGAAGAACGGGGCGTAAATACAGTATAAGCGCTCTATACTGTACGCCCAAAGGGAGCCTTTGAGAATATCCATCATATGGAGATGTTCATTTTTCAGAGGCTTTCAACTTTTTCTCTCAGTATTCGTTACTAGAATTAACGAAGAATATCAAGCTACCTTTCTCTATATCATTTCACATATAAGACGTCTCAACAATATTTTATATCATAATCTTTTGGAACCCACTTTTTTAAACCTAAATTATTTAACTATATTTTTTACGTAACTGATTGAAATCTACTTATTCAATATAAACGGTGGAAAAGTATGTTTTTCGAAATATAGACAATTGCATTTCATCAAAAGATTTTGAAAATGTTAGTTATACAACTTTGTTCAGACACTTCTGAATCAACATAGTGATCAGTAATATTTTTCTTGAATTGTTGCTTTGATGTGATTTGATTTTCATCTTTGTATAATATCAAAAGCTTCCGGGAATGTTGAAAATAGTCCTTGAGCGAAGCCCTCTTCTTCTATTATTTATGCTAATTTACTTCTTGAAAGACTACTATCACTGCTGTTTTCTTTAATTAATGAAATATTCTGTTCTAGCGTGAATTCGCGTGACTTAGTTGGTAGATAATTGAACATATAATCGGTTATTTCTTCTTAACTACTTTTTACATCAGTCTCAATTTACTCTTCTGCTGGTTTTTTTCTTCTTTGCCAATTCTCTTTTTATTTCACTCTGGGTAATTCCATGGGATTTCATCAGGTACATCGAGTACCACGTCCGGGTTTTTTGAAGCGGTCAGGATTTGTTCAGTGTTTTTCGTTGATCATTTTGGTATAAAATTTATTAGAGTTTAATGCCTTTTTCATATACTTGTGGAAGAAATACTTTTTATGCTATTTTGAATTTTTTCCTGATTAAAATACCTGTAGCATTTTGAAAAATCGATATTATGTACTCCGTCAATATTTTATAAAATTTAAAGACCAATTATATTTTCAGATTTAGCGTGAAAATCTGCATCAGAATCCTTAGGAATCTTAAAGTTTCTACATATTTTGATGGACAGTCTCAAGGGCCATCTTGTTTTCAGTGACAGCATTTTTATGAGAAGTTATTTCAAGAATGTTACTATAGGAGTTGGAATTATCCAAGAAAGTGGCGTTAGCCATTCGATAGAATAAAGCTTAGTCTACACATGCAATGGTTGGTTTTCTTTCCCCGTTCAATTCTGGTGGAAAAAAGCGAAAAAACTATTTTTGACTGCAATTTTTGATGAATATACTCGTTAAATCTAAATACTAACTTCAGTAATGACTTTAGAGTTTATTATGATTATCAAGGTATGTAGAGCTTGTTGTGCTGATCATTTTAGTACTGAGTGATTGTATATTCGAGTCTATTTTCATGAGCAACTCAGTGAAATGAGATATGCATCTTTTGGCACATATGATTATTAGATATAAAAATGATGCATTTTTTCTTAAAACAAAAGTGGGGTCGCTTTACTATTCATTGACAACTATTAGGCTAATAATGCGTTTGTATCGCTCATGAAATTATAATTGGAGTTTTTGCCAATATATGAACTCATAAATACTCTTGTCATGTATCTTCATAATATGCTTTATGCATGCTATCAAAAGTGAATATGAAAGCATGTAGAGCTAATTAAAATAATCGAATAGTTTAAAACTATGACAGGAATGATTTCATAGGATAAAACCAGCTCTATAACATACATTATTTAGTTTTCTCCTGAACTCTAATTTCAGGAAGAAGATTGGCTAGCTATTTATATTTGCAATCATTTGTAACCTATACGTGAGTATATGTGTACTTATTTCTGTTAAAAATG